ACACTACAGGGGGAGCTAGGCACCTTCTTCTCCTTTACTCAAACTTGCAAATAAATATTTTAGCAGCTGTGACATTGTGGCAGGAAAAACTCAGGGTGGGAATGAAATCTTCAAAACTTTCCTTTCCTTTCCTTGTGGCAAATGCCTTGACTGACCCTCCCATGCAATTCTGTGCAATCCCCTTAGTGGATCTTTTCACTCTTGTTGTTTTGGGGGGTTTTTGTGTTGGTAGGGACATTGTCCTCTGGATTTTGGGGAGCAGGGCATATTGGGCATAACGGGAAGGACCAGGGACTGGATAAGAAGTCTTTGGGAATCACCTGTTCACCCTCCAACCTGTCTTCTCTCATGCACTCCCCATTTCTTTTTTTTTTTCCAAGTCCATTTCCCCTTGAATTCTTTTGTTTCCTGGAATTAAGCAATTAATAAGATCAGAGTTTTGGTTTTTTTCCTCTCCACAAAGCTTTGTCGCGTGTCTCATCAAACTTACAGCAACTTGCAAAGAAAAACAGCCCCTGGGAGCTGTTTAGATGCTCCTCATGATTCCCATCTAGGGCACCCAGCATCTTTGCTTTGCTGGTGTGCCCGGTGTCCTGGAATTGATAGGAGGGGACAGAGGAAGAAAAACCTGAGGAGGTGGGGGAGGAGGATGGGGGTCAGACAAATAGCAAATGCTCAGGCAAAACAAGAGACAAAACAAGTTCCCCCACGCCCATTCTTTTTCTTTCTCAGCCTCCAGTATAAGATGTACATCTGCAGATGTACAGGGCCATTTCTAAGAGGAGGTTTTCCCCTCCAATTTCCCCCCCTTCTAAGCTGGGGCCAGTGCTTGTGCATGCAAGTGTGAATATGCATAAGAGGTAGAGGAAACTTACCTATGAAAACTAGTAGCACCATCTCTGGCGATTCCTGCTGCCAGGTAAGATTTGACTTTTCTTCTTCTCTTTGTTGCTTCACTTTTCATAGAGTGTTGGAGCCCTGAAGCCTGGGAGTGGGAGGATGTCTCCTAGCTGGGTTCAGGGGTGAGCAGTCCCTGTGTGCACCCAGTGCAGCAAGTGCAGCTGCTGTGCTGTGGGCTGACACCCAGCAAGGCTTAGGAGGCTTACTGCAGAGTGCAGGAGTTCCAGAGGGGGAAGGATGTTTTCTCACTGCCTGCAGTTTGGAAGGGTGAAGGGGCTCTTCAGGACCTGCCTGGAGGAGTTTTAGCCTGCTGAATGCATGGACCTGAGCGCCAGGCACAGGGGCACATGCCAGCCCTCGGGACAGTGAGTGCCACTGCCACCCCAGCTGTGTCACAGGTGAGCCACCGGGCGTGCTTGGGGTGGGATGGAGAGCAGAGCCCCCAGAGAGGGCTCCCACAGCCCAGGCAGCTGCAGCCAGGGATGGAAGGAGGGCTCTGAGCCCCAGATGTGAGCCCAGCAGACAGTCAGGGACAAGATGTGAGTGTGGCCAGCAGCTCCCTTCAGGCAGTGTCACCCACCTGGGCTCAGTTGTTATAGATGTGGTGAAGCACACCTGGAATGCTGCAGTGGATGGTCACAAGCCCTTCAGAAGGGACAAGCACAGAGGGACGGGCAGTGGGGTAATCTTGTACATCAGGGAATGTTTTGATTTCTAGAGTTTAATGACAGTGACAACAGGGACAACTGTTCATGGGTAGGAGTCAGTGGAAAGGCCAGCAAGGCAGATGTCATGGTGAGAGTCTATTAGAAATACAGCACAGCAGAGAAGAAGGGAACTGTAGGAGCTCTAGGAGGTTCCTGCTGTGTGTGGAAGAATGCCTGACAGCTGGTGACAGAGCTGATGAGGACATGTGTCCCTTGGCCCTGTTTGTGAAGCTCTTTGAGAAGGACTGGCAAGTGATGTGGCACTTGCAGGCTGTCTGGGGCACAGTGGTCGTGAAATGAAGGAGATTTAATCCTTGGAGATGTAAGAAGCAGAGCTCAGAAAATTGCAGCTTTGGACTTCTGGAGGGAGGACTTTGGGCTGTTTAGGAAACTGGTTGACAGAGCTCCTTGGGAGAAAGCTGTGAGGGGCAAAGGGGTCAAGGAAGGATGGAAACTGTTCATGAAAGAAATCTTAAAGGTGCAGGAGCAGGGCAGTGGGATCATGGCCTGTGCCAGCAATGGTGTGGCCAGCAGGACCAAGGCAGTGGTTGCCCCCTGGTACTATGCACTGGTGGAGCCACAGCTCAAATCCTGTGCTCAGTCGTGGCCCCTCACTGCAAGGGCAGCGAGGTGCTGGAATGTGTCCAGGGAAGGGTCTGGAGCACACGTCCTGTGAGGAGCAGCTGAGGGAGCTGGGGGTGTTTGCCATGGACAAAAAGAGGCTCGGGGGGACCTTCTGGCTCTCTAGCACTCCCTGCATGAAGGCTGTAGTGAGGGGCACGTCAGGCTCTTCCCCTGAGTACCAAGGACAAGAGAGAACAGGTCCAAGCTGCACTAGGCAGGTTTAGACTGCACACCAGGAAAGTCTTTCCTGGAAGGGTTGTCAAGCACTGCAATTGGCTGCCCAGTGAAGTGCTTGAGTCACCATCCTTGGAAGTATTTAAAAGATGGGTGGATGTGTCAGTCAGGGACAGACAGGGACCTCTCAGTGCTGGGTCTACAGATGGACCCAATGATCTTAGGGGTCCTTTCCAACCTAAACAATTCTGTGATTACATTCCTGCCATGTTTGGAAAGGAAATGCTTAGTCATTCTCTGTCCTTATATTCTATGCCACTAGAGAAATATGTTATCCCACATATGGTAACAAGCTGAGGCCATCACTGTACCCAATTCAGTGAGAGACCATCCTTACCAGCCAGGGATTTCCTTGGATGAAACCAGAGATGTCCCTCACCTCCCACTGGAATTGACAGTCTGTGAGGAATACTCCCAGTGTAACACTGACAGTGCCAAATTTGTGATCACAGGCAAACAGTCCCGTGTATTCTGGTGGCACTGAAGAGGAGGGATCAAGCTGATAGTGCAGTTGGCTGTGGCTCCACTGGGTTCCTTGTGTTCTGTCTTAAGAGTTTCCATCCGAGGCATTGTCAGGGCAGCAGACTGATGGCTGCGGGTGGCTCTGAAAGCTACCAACCTCCTTAAAGCCATGTCACAAGAGGAGCTGGGGGTACATTAAAACCTGCAGAGCCTGCATGAATATCAGGCCTTCCTTGCACTCTTCTATTTGACAGTCAGACTATAATTATTAACAATCTTTATACTGTAATAATTTGAGCATAAGTTTTGTTTAAGCTCTGCTGTCCATTTGAGATTTATTTCAGCTCAGTGGAACACAAGCTTGCATGATGCTGTCAAGCATCAGTTTATCATACTCCACCCCCACACCACCACAGCAATTTATTTGGTGTTCTGACCAATCCTGCATGTGTGGTGCAGTGGAGGAGACCCTCTACACCTCTGCCACACCTTCTCCAGCTGGAAGTTGCTTTGCTCAGAGATAAGGACAATCCATTTAGCTGTGCTGCATCTGTTTTCCTTTTCCAGGTTTTGGGTTTTTTTAATTCTTAATTGCTGTAAATACGCAGAGCATTTCAAACTTTGCAGTAGAGGCTGTTCGATGTGCTTGCATGGCAGCACACATTTTGTGATTGTCATAAAAGACTTTATCCTCATGCAAGTGCTGTGAGATACATGCTGTCTTTCCTCACTGTACAGGTTCAAAAGTGGGGTACAGAGAGACAACGTGACTTTTCCCAAGACATCAAGAAAATCAGAAGCAGACCAGGAATAGGTGTAATAAGTGTTCAGTAAGCACAAATTAATATTTTTATAAATGCAAAAAAATCTATTTACTTCTTAGTGTTGTTAAGGAAATACAATAGAGTTCCTGTCAGGACAGTGTGAAATGCAAATATTTCTCCTATAGATAGTCATTGCTCTTATTTTAAATAATAGAGACATCTCGCTGAAAATTTTGGTGCTACAAGCAAAGCCTTTTTGTCTTGTTCATATATGAACAGAGCTTATGAGTAAATTTTACCATCTAAAGATAAACTTTTGTTATTTTCACCTGTATTTCTGGTAAAACAAGTGCATGTTTGGGAAGCCATGAAAACACATGTATCCAGAGGTGTGTGTATGTGTATATAAAACCATAGATACTTTTAACTTGTGTAAGATCTGTGTCTTCAGACAAACATGAAAGAACAGAAACTGTTTCTATTCACATTTTCAGGCAGCAGTTCTGTAAAACAGGATTGCCTAAAAGTGAACACAGAAACTGGTTTCATAAATATTTTCAGATCTGATTTAGAGATTGAAATTATGAACAAAGTACTGCAGTATGTAACTAGAGATTTAAGAATTACTGATATCTTTTGTTTTCAAAGTACAGTATTTAGGTTTTGTTTACTTCTTTGTATTTACCTGCAAAGAAGCAAATTCACATTTTTTCCTGAAACAATTGACCACTGAGCCCTAAGACTCTATGTAAAATGGTAAAGGGAACTAAACCTCTTTATTCTTGTGTAACTCATTAGCTAACATCAGATGATTAGAGCTAATGTTTCCATCTAAAACAATTCAAGTGCCTCATTAACAGGGATAGATTTCCTTTGATCTAATTACTTATTGTCCCAGATAAATGGGAGATTCAGAGATCAGCGCTGAGAAATCTCTGCAGACCTGGTCACATCTAGAAACGTGAATTTACAAGTAGACTTCAGAAATGTCATTTAAAATTATAATGAGCCTTGTTTAGTCTGCTGGCAATGCTTGGTCAAATGTTGAATGAAATCACATTGATGATAACTGGAGAATGAAAATGATGGCTGTTTGCTGAGTATGATTTAATCTCCATTATTATAGGCAAGTGGATTGCAAATTTCCATAATTAAACATCCAGTGCACTGGTCAGATTCTGTTGTAAAGTTTGGTAATTGCTGTTGTTGGGAAAACAGTCCAGAGGGGTGTTGCTGTCACATGATGAGCTTTTGAGGCTGAGCTAATGGGACACCCTTTTAAGTGTTCTCCATGTTTTGTGCTTTAGAGGCAGAGGATACCGTCATGGAGATTTCATCAAAAGAAAACGCTCACTTTTTCTCAAACAACGCAATCTTGCCCGTGGACCGATCTTCGTTCAAATCCGAATCATCCGCATCCAAGGAAAAACAGTCATGTTGTGGAGGTATAAAGGTAGAGTAAGAGCTTTGAATATTCCAGTAGGGACTTAGAAAATCTCTCTCTTTTTTTTTTTCTTTTTTTTTATGAATGATCCCTTTTACAGTTCTGATTATGACGTGCTGAGCCAGTATGAAATTATTAGAGATATTTCTAAGTCACAAGAAAATCTTCTTCAGATCTGTATTTGCAAAACTTTTGGCAGTCATCAAATATAATTTGTTGGCTGAGGCTTGCATATTATGAGATCTTCAAGACCCATCCTAAAACGTCCCTCTGTCTTCCTTATTGCTCCACCTGAAGCTGAGAGCAGAGCATTGGCAGACAGGTACCACAGGCAGCTGTCAGCACAGATTGCTTTTTTAAGATAGTACCATGGTAGTCTCCTGGGCTCTCCAAAGTAATATTGCATTATGGTCTGTATTATTATATGATATTATTAAGGCATTACGGTAATATTGCTCATTCAAGAGAACTCTGCATGAGGTGACTTTGAAATGACTGCAGAAGAATTGCCCCTTTATCTCCATCTCTGTCACCCAAGCAGTTTTTGCTGGAGGTGATGGGAGGTGTCTGCTCTGAGGATGCAGCTGTGCCTGCCTGCTGCTGGGAGCTGCTGCTGGGAGCAGGACATGGGGCACACATGTTCAGGACATGGGGCACAGCAGGCAGCACACAGCTCTGCCTGATTCCCAAAATGCTGACATTCTCCTGGGGGAGCTCTCAAAATCACCATACAGTGGTGAGATGATTTGAGTTACACAGAAAATCGGTCTGGTCCCAGTTCATCGTGCACATCGTGTGTATTTCTGGTGGTTTTTCCCTCACTCAAACACTTTCAGGTATTAGTCCAGCTCCCACTACAGCCAATAGTTGTCCTGAAGTCTATAAATTTTGAATGGTTTTGTTTTGAAAGAGAAGATGAGTTGTATTAAATAAATTTTGTACCATGATATAATTCCATCATTGCTTCTCCATTTGCTACAATGATAATCCAATCCCCTCAGTGAATAAAACTTCAGTCACAGATTAGCCAGTCAGAAATCGCTTATTAGCTCCAGAAATAGAAAAGCAATAATATTTCAGCTCAGTTTCTTTCTCTATAAACAAGTCTTCTGGGAACCCAAACCAATAACTAATGTATCTCTGTAGGAACTTAGAAAACCTCTCTCTTTTTGAGTTCTGATTAGATCTTCCTGAGTCAGAATGAAATTATTAAAGGTATCTCTAAGTCATGAAGATGTCTCTGCTTCAGGTTTTGCCTAATTAGTTAAGAGAACAATATGCAGATACAACAGGCTATTTTTACCAGTTACCAACCTTCATTATCAACCTTCCTATGTCTTAAAATTGCCTTTATTGACCCGAAAGATTTGGTGAAATATCTACTTACAAGCACTGACAAACGAGACAAGAATGTGAAATCATGTGTACCTTTCTGTCCCAGCCTTAAATCAGGAGTGTCTTTCCACCAGTGCAAACCTGGGACAGTTGCAAACCCAGTAAAAGAATTGGTGCCAAAGACATTCAGAAGCATTTCAAGTTGTAGTTTACCTATACAATTTTCCAGTATAAAAAAAAAAAGTCCTTTCACATTGCTATTTAAATTCCAATGGAATAAACATACAGAAAATGTAAAATATTATGAGAATATTTGTACTAGAGAGTTCTTTGAGAGCTGCTGCTGTAGGAAAAAAAGAACCAGAGAGGGGTCGTGTATGTTTATTTACCCACAACTGTTTGTGAAGGAGGGATAACCAGCCATGCATAAAGTGTATTGAATGTGACACAGAGATCTATTTGAACCTTAACACAAGGATTTGCATTCAGCAGTGATGCTGTTACCACTGTGCCTTGTCAAATGAGATGTTGCAAGGAGATTTGCACTGGAGTTGAGTACATTGCTCAGAGCACAGTCTTACTGGGACTGTGATTGTCACAGAGGTTTAAGGAGCAGCACGAGGTCCTAGAGTTCTATTCAAATAACACCTTAATGTGTCTCTTAATTTCTGGGACTGGGTTTTACAGAAAGCATCCATATTCATATTCAAACTGAGTCAACACCACCTGTATCTGTAGGCAGAAAGCAATGTTGTGGTTTCCATGACCAAACGCACTGTGTGTGGGTATCTGTGGAGCACATCACCTCGGTGGGGCTGCATTCAGTAAAGGGGAAATTCAGGCAATAGATCTGCAGAACAAAGAGTTCATGCTCAGGACCCTGCGCTCCTACTACAGGAATTTTGGACCAGCCCTCGTCTTCCAGTTTAATTTTGTGGGAAAGGGGTTCAGTCTGCACCTTTGAAGTGTATATCAAAGCACTGTGAAGGGAGATGGAGTTTAATTTCCAAATCCCACTCCTGATTCAGAAGAACATGCTAAATCAGATATAATGATAGCTAAGAGAAAACTGTCTCTGCCAATCAAAAGGATGGGAGAAGATTGTCCCCAGCAAAATGCACTCTGAGGAAAATGCATGTGTTAGAGAGTGCCAGAGATCTCGTAGGGGAAGGATGAGCCCAGAAGAGAATTGCCTGGCAGGTCACTGTTCATCTCACAGAATATGTAACATATTTAAAAATGTTCAAAAACTCACCTCCCCAGAAAGCCACACTTAGCAGTTACCCATATGGTTACTGTGTAAGATACTCCCTCCTGAGAAAATCCCAAGTTTCTGCCTTTCATCAGAGCAGTAGCTTTGGCATCTACCTGAAATTAGCAATGGTTGAGAGTCAATTCAGTTTTTATCAATATTGCTCATAAGAGATGAACAAGTAGGAATCTAGCATTTAATAAGAAGTAGAAGAAATATTGGTTTGGTTACTTGGCAAAAGAAGAGGTAGGAATGCAGAATTTGTTTAAAAATAATGTATCTTCTGCACTACCTGATTTTAATCACTGTCATTTTTTTCACAGGTATTTCTTGGTGCCTTGTCTTTTGTTTATTTTGCTAAAGCACTGTCAGGAAGTTATCTAAAAAGTACTATCACACAAATAGAAAGAAGATTTGACATTCCTTCCTCTTTGGTTGGTGTTATTGATGGAAGTTTTGAAATTGGTATGTGCTGTAGAAACCCATTTTTACTGTAGAAAAAAGAGAGATGCAATTTATTGTGAAGAATGCTTGTATGAATCTCCCTGAACCATAAAACTGAGCAAGATTCACCTAGTAAAAATAAGTGGGACTATCAGTATGACTGTGTTCAATAGGAGAAGGTTGCTAACACAGGCAATTCAGCATAGACATAAAAAAAAATTATAATTTGATAAGCTAATCATGTGACTAATTCATACTAATAGACGCTTTGAGTGTTGAATGCGAATTTACCTGCACAGATTTCTGCAGGCAGAAAGCCACCTCCCCCCCACAAGTGTTTGTCCTTTGTGATTTATTAAGCAGCAGGAGGACAAACCTCTAACTGTAATCTACATTTCTTGTGTGGTCCCTTTCCTTCCCTCTCACTCTAAGGTTTCCAGCATGTCATTGTCTCTTACTATTTCAGATTCCTGCATTTATCTCATGGGTGTTCAGTGGACTGTGGTACTCACAGGAATGAAATCTTAGCCTAAGTGTATAGAACTCTGATTCCTCCTTTTTCTGCTCTTCTGGTCATTTGCTCTCTTCAGCTGGCACAGTCTTTCTCCTCTTTTCCAGCTGTTTATCCAAAGATTTATGGTTTTCCTATCACAGAAGGCATTGGGCTCCTGTAGAATGCCTGGAAAGAAGGAGAAAGACCAAGCCCATCAACCCTCCCTCCCTGAAATCAGTGCCCATACTACACACCAGGAATTGTTATTTTAGGGGATCTCTTATCAACAAGCAGTAAAACTCAGTTTTCCTTTTGTACTCTCAAAGGGAACCTCCTAATCATAATTCTAGTGAGCTACTTTGGAGCAAAGCTTCACAGGCCAAGAATAATTGGAGCAGGCTGCTTAATTATGTCAGCTGGAACATTCCTGATTGCAGTGCCCCAGTTCTTCATGGGACGGTGAGTGCAAAGTGAGCAGTGTTTTCCAGCTGGGTGTGCACCCTGAATGGCAGCTCACTAAAGCATTTAGGCATTGGATGTGAAGATGGAAAGAGGCATATGGGGATGTGGTTACTTAATTTAATTTATTTTTGGTGATAAGATTTATTACTGTAGAATTTAACATGTCTACTATTTTCTGTTGTCATCAACTTATTTTTTCATTAGTGTCTGATCTTGATTTGCCACATTTTGATGTGGATCAGGAATTGTTGAAATGTCACTAAAGAAGTGATGACTGTACTCAGGAAGACAATCTGAGTACCAATCACAAGCCAGAGGATACACCAGTTTTTGATAATCTCTTAGTCCAAAGTCATAGCAGAGTAAAGTTCCAGTTAAACTGAAATGAATCGCTGGCACAGAGCCAATGGAACAATTTTCACATTTGGCTGCAGTATAAATTGATATCTGTTTATCCCCTGTAAACTACCACTGGCAATGGATCCAGATGGATTTATATGGATGCAGATGAAATTTGCATTTAAGTGCTGTAGGCCTATCTGGTAGTTACCGACCTGATTGCTTTTTCTTCTCAGTACTTATGACTAAAGACAACTTTGTTTTGTAAACAGATACCGGTACGAAAGATTCCCTTCCACCATCAATTCCACTCTTAGCCTCTCTCCATGTCTGCAGGATAAAAGCCAAACTCCACTCTCAGCCTTGGAGAAATCTGAAGCAAAAATAAATGCAGGTGAGAATGATCTCTGTTAAATCTTGGGTCTGGTAGTGCTCACTATCATTGATGTTCCCCAAACCTTTCTGTCAGGAGATCCCAGTTTTGGTTAGAAGGAAGTGAGAGAGTTTTCTAAGAAGGGATGTCGTGGCAAATTTATAAAACTGGCAAAATTGTAGCATCTTTGGGGCAGCTCATGCTAAAAATTTGTCTACCCTAAGCTGTTTCACAGTTTTCCTACTGTTTCTCCCACAAGGGAGGTATTCTAGAAGCCCTGAGCTTTCAGTGTCCAACTGTTACTACAAACACATCATCGTTGTCTCTTGTTGTGTACACAGGGTGTGAAAAGGAAGCAGGCTCTTCCATGTGGATCTATGTTCTACTGGGAAATCTTTTGCGTGGAATAGGTGAAACCCCTATCCAGCCCCTGGGAATTACATACATTGATGATTATGCTGTTGAAGAGAATGCTGCCTTATATATTGGTAAAATAAATATGATTTCCTTTTTCTAATGGATTTTTCCCCAGAGGAAAGGGAGTCATTCTGAAAAATGGAATGAATGAATGAACTTGCCTTGATTGTTTTGCTTGCATAATTTCCAATATTAAAGTTTATTTAACAGTCATGTACACGCAAGAGACCAAGTTCCCATTTAATTATACCAACACACTTCCATTATCTTAATTTGGTGAAAGAATTTGACCTTGGGTTCCTACTGTTACCCTAATCTTTCTAATTCTTCTGGATGTGGACCGCTGAGCCTCTGTGCACATTCAGTTCTCTGGAAAGTGATAAACAGGCACTCTTTTAAGCAGTTAAAATAGAATTTCAGTGGGCACTCAAAACATTCTCTCCAGATTCATGTAGGATTATGAACAATAGTACTGAAACTTTAGGAAGTTGGGATCACTGTTTTCTTGTGTTCATTGTCTGATCCCTGCACATTCACCTGAAATATTACCAAAAAGTCCTATCTCATCAGCATCACAAGTTTCCAGCCAAGCAAAAGGCAAAAAAATCAGATTCTCTCTGTAAAAGATTCAGTCTTCCCAGATTTCCAGGTGAATTTTTTCAGATTCAGAGCATTCAGAAAGTTTGGCTGAGGGTGTATTGAAACATATTAGCAGTGGAAACCAAAGCAAAGTGATGCCTCAACCTATTCAGGGCCTACCTCAACTTAAGGGGGTCAGTTAACTTTAGAAAATGACATTTGCTTTCCAGTCACTTTAATCTTGTCGGCTAAAGCATTTCTAGCAATTGTAGATTGGTGCTGCTATTGAGTTTAGGCCATTCAGTTTCCTGACATTTAGTTTCCTGACATTTTTTCCTTCAGGCTGAATTTAACTCTTTGATTGGATAACAATAAAAAAGTTTCATCGTAGTAGGGAAAATTTTATTGATGACTTTTTTTCTTCTTGAATATATTTCAATTTGTGTACCTGTATCTCTTGCTGCCCTTCACATGCAATTATCTGCTGTTAGATGCAGAAGAGCCAGTGCCCTTTTCAGCTCAGGAGTGTAACAGTCCCCTGTTTCCTATTCCAGGCTGCGTACAGACAGTGGCCATTATAGGGCCAATATTTGGCTTTCTCCTGGGATCCCTGTGTGCCAGATTATACGTTGACATTGGCTTTGTAGATCTGGGTAAGTCAGAACACTCAGGCTTTAAAAATCCAGCCAGGCTCCAAAATGCCTATTTCAGGCCAGGAACTCCCTGGTTATCTTCTAGGCATGAGGGGCTAGCAGGGTTAGAGTAGGCACTTGGTGAAATGTAAGGGATGACAGCAGTGCAGTGGTCCAGGCAGAATAGGCTGGCAAGAAGGATGGCTGTAGAGGAGGAAGGAGCTCTGACTCTTCCTCAGCCCCAGCAGATCTGCAGCAGGTGCCTCCAAGAGATGCTCTGGTAAGGAGGCTCTGGGGAGATAATGGGAGCCAGGAGAATACAGGACTGAAGCTCAGGACCCTGCATGTGCTTTTTTAATATCCTCTTGTTGCCTAGAAAAGTGGTTTGACAGGGGGTACCAAGTCTCCTGATTCCTTCTGAGAAGGAAGTTTTCTTCCTTCTGAGAAAACAGGAAGAAAAAAAACAGGAGGAAAACAGGGTTTTTTTCCTGGGGCTTTTGTGCAGAACAGCCTGACTGGGGGCAAGTGAGCGGCCACCTGGACTGCCCCATGAGCTGGTCCTTGCAGCACCCCCGGGGATGATGTGCAAGTGGCAGAGCAGTGTCAGGACTAGGCTGCTGCTGTGCCCAGCAATCAGTAAATGCTCAGCATGTCCCCACAGCTGCTCTGTAAAACACCCATAGGGACACAGAGCACAGCTACACCTGGCGGGCTGGGGGGGGAGTCCCTGCAAAACCACCTTAATATGAGCAGCAAATATTCTCCAAGTGTATTGACTTGTTTTTTTCCTTTGCACTTTCTCCAGACAGCGTGGCCATAAGTCCCAAGGACGTGCAGTGGGTGGGAGCGTGGTGGCTCGGGTACCTGATTGCTGGGGTGATCAGTGTCCTGGCTGGCATCCCCTTCTGGTTCCTGCCCAAGCACCTCCCAAAACCCGAGAGCAGGAAGGGCTCCAGCACCTCTTCTGAGCACTCGAGGTTCATCATTGAGGAGAACAAGGACCAGCACACATCCTATTGGCAACAAGCCAAGCTTGCAGAGATGGCAAAAGGCAAATCACTTGAGTTGTCTTCCTGATGGTTGAGTTTTTCTCTCAAAGGCTTTTAGACTTAATTTTTTTTTATTTATAAAGTTTTATAAAAATCTTATAAATTTTTAGACTTAAAATTTTTATATTATATATATATAAAATTTTTTCTTAGGTTTCACTCTCCAAGTCTTTTCAATGTTCCCTGGACTTGCTATTGCGTAAGAATGTCTTCATCTGAGATTTGTGAAACTATAAGAGTGGCCCAGCACATATCATGAAACTCTGCAAAAATTTTTTATTCTCATTTAGTGACTAATTTAGTGACTAATGCAGAAGTGGTGCTCAAAAGAAAACCAACCCTTGGTTTGTCCTAATTATTTTTTCCTGTAAGTTCATTCATTAGGAAAATGTGCAATATCTGATGAGAATATAGTTGGACACAGACCAGCTACAGTATTAGAGGAGCTGTCTGGATTTAGACAGGAGCTGTTTTGCACAATTGCATTTCCTTGGCCATGCTTTGCCAAAAGCGTTTTCCCTCAGAACTTGAATCTGTACCTCAGTATGTCTGTACTTAACTGCCAGCTGTGCTGAGCACTCTTTGCCCCAAATCAAGCTGAACAGTGCTGCAGTGGTTGAGGACACAGAGAAACCAAATCATTCCTAGTTTATGATGGAAAGAAGGTATTTCAAACAAGATATTTCTTCTGGGAAATTGGTGCTTAGTGTTTTGCTCCACTATTCCTCCATCCAAAAATGGGGGAGCTGTCAGGAGCATCGTGGAACTTCACAGATTCCCTCTGAAATGTTTTGCAGTTTGGGGTTTTTCAGAAGGTGCACACATGTTACAAAGCATTACTCACAGAAGTTATTCTCTCTCTGGCCTGCTTGTTATTTCTGCTGTTTTATCTTACAGACTTCCTGCCATCACTGAAGAACCTCTTTGGGAATCCAGTTTACATTCTGTATTTGTGTGCAAGTATCATTCAGTTCAATTCTTTAATTGGCATGGTAACATATAAGCCAAAATATATTGAACAACAGTATGGGCAGACATCTTCAAAAACTAACTTTGTTATAGGTAATGCTATATCTGCTTCTTCATATCTTTAAAATGGACATTTTAGGAATGGCATATACATATAGAAAAAAATGTCTTTTTTTAGGGTATGTTCATTTCTTCTCCTTCTTTCTCTGACTTTAAGTAATAGCTCACAGAGGTAAGTTATTTCATTTCTGCTTCAGCACTAATTAACTCTGAGTTTGCCTTTGCAAGAGTTACTGTAAGAGTTTACATGATTTGATATCTTAATTCTCACTTAACTGGAAATCTGGAAAGTAATATATGAACAACACAAGAAAATAACTGAGAACCTATTTTAGAATACTTTACATAAATTTATTGTCAGACAGATCTGCTGCCTTGGCGGCTTCCCATTCATTTAAACAGAATGAAGATGAGTTCAGTGGGTGCTGTGGGTGGCTCTCTGAAGAGACTGGGGTTAAATAAGAGGAATTCAAGTCATACCCCAAGCTGTCTCATACAGCACAAGAGAGAGAAGCTGCTTCAGCCTTTGGGTAGAGAGATCAACATTTTTGTAGCTGACTTCAAGAGGGTGGACTTGACTGCCCAGTTGCTGAACCTGCACGTGGGGTTCAGCTCCAGAGGTCCAGGGCTCCAATAGCATTAAGCAGCAAAGAGGTTTACAGCCAGCCAGCACAGAGGGAGCTGCCTTGTTTCAGGGCAGCATTAGTTGCACAGCAACAGAAGTATATATATGCAGAAAAGCTGTAATGATCCATTGTGCTATGTTAATTCCAGTAAAGATAGAAGCTGGAATTTCCTGGCACGAAACTCCTCAAAGCAAGGAGAAACCTTCAAGTATAGTTGACGGCCGAAGAAAGTCCAGAAAACAATCCCTACATTCAGTATAGTACTTCTCATTGTATTTAAAGATTTTCTGGAGCTAAGCTTTCAGGTATGTGCAAACTGAGTGAGGATTAAGAACCATTTGATTTCTCTGAGCACAGGGACTATATCCAACAGAGAGTGTGTGGTGGTTTGGTTAGGGAAGGATCCTGCTGAGGGGCTATCCCTGCACTAAGGTGATTTTTCTTCCTCCTTTTCCTTTCTCTCCAAATCCACCCTTCCTAAGAAACCTAAGGGCTGACTCAAACTCAGTGTTTATTTCTCTTTCACAACCTCTTTTACTCTTTCTTTTTTAAAACATAGTTTCTACCAGAATCTCAGATAGATATCAAAATTGTCATAGCAATTGGAAGCACTAAATTTTTTTTTTAAAAGGCAGGTCTTGCTCCAGCTTTCATAACATTAGATAAAACTAAATTCGTCCTCTAGGAATCAGCAGATGACTCCACTGACAAACTAATTGTGGAAAAAGACACCTATCTTAAGAAATTGGAAAAGAATTATCTAAATTTTATCCATAATCTGTCCATCAAAGAACCAGAAAAGAAGCATGTCCTAGGGAGTAAGTTTTCCAAAACTGTCCCAGCACCTTTGTAACACTCCAAGGATCAGTCTAAGCCTGGACAAAAGAAAAGTCCCTGACTGAAGATCTTTTGTTTTGTTCCTTCATCTGATTGCTGCAGCTTTTTTTGTGGCTGACAAGGTTAGTCCACTGAGCTGGGGTTTTCATTAATACAGGTTTTTCTGTTTGATTTCAGGTCTTATTAACATTCCTGCTGTGGCCTTTGGCATATTTTCTGGAGGACTGATCATGAAAAAATTCGGGATCGGTGTTTTAGGGGCTGCAAAACTTTCCTTGGGCTCATCTTTCTTTGGTTACCTGTTGCTGCTGTCGCTGTTTGCCATGGGCTGTGGGAACTCGGATGTGGCCGGGCTGACGGTGCCGTACCCCGGGTATGCTGGGCAGCCCTGCTTCAGCTGAAAGGGCTGCTCCAAACCACTCTCCTTCCTCAAAGCACACGCTGCTGAAAAGAGAGGGACTCACCTGAATAGGCCTCCCAGAAATTCCATTCAAATCAATGGAAACCACTCCATTCCAGCGGGTGTTGTGTCACGACCCTCTCATGATTAAGGCATAAATCAGTGGGGTTTATGTCACAAGTGCAGATTATTTTTCTGATTACTTTTTAATTATTATTGCAATGGGACCCATCCTTTGAGCCGAGTGATTCCTGGAACAGTGAGTAGCTCAGTATGGGGGAAGAGATTCAATTAATTGTTTCTTGCCTTTGTGTGCTGCTGAACAATGAATGGCATTTAATAGTCTTTGAACTCAAAACTTAAGGATTCATGGATTAACCATGCTGTTAACCATGAGGTACACCTGAGGCTAACATTTTTGCCCATGCTATTCCTCTGTAAAACTGACCTTTTGGGAGGAGTGTCCAGCACTGACTCACAGCAGCTCTGGTAGCTGCTCCACTGGTGTCTGATGACTGAATTTGTCAGAGAGCTGTCGTGCAAGGTATCAGACACAGTTTGGATGAATCCCATTCTGATAAGTTCCTTGCTAACTTCTACGGAGACCATTTGCCATGAGTAACTCAATCCCCTCCTTACCATCTGCTTAGTTGTGTTAAAACTATCTTAGAAAATCTGAGGAAATGCATGAATATAAATTATGACTCGTCCCCCTTAATAAACTAAATACTATCTCACAGCAGGTGGTGTGATAGTGTGAAAACCTGTGGATAACAGAGAAATAAGGATTTACACTGCTGTGAGTGTGCAGAGACCATCTTGAACGGGCTGCAGAGAGAAGGTCTGGCCAGGTGCACCTGGCAGAGAGGTGATGGGGATTTCTTCCACTTCTGCTGGGCAACACCACCTTCTCTTTTTCCACAGCACTGAACCCGTGGCTGATTACGAGCCAGCCCTGTTTTCAGAGTGCAACTCGGGCTGCTCGTGTTCCAGGAGCGCCTGGGAGCCGGTGTGTGGGGAGGATGGAGTCACCTACGTGTCCGCCTGCCTGGCGGGCTGCCGGGCATCCGGCGGCACCGGGAACAGCTCCGTAAGGAAATCCTTCATTCCCAGGGGACACCGCTCTTTGTCCTGGAACAACAGGGTCTGCCAGAGCAAGTGGGTCTGAACTGAGCATGCCACATCCTCTTCAGTCCTGAACTCTTCAGGCTTTTTTAGAAATTTGCCACCCACATTTAAAATTTCCTCACTTGCTGTTGCCAGCAGAAATCACAGAGAATGTTGGAGGCTTTATTTATTTATTTATTTATTTATTTATTTATTTATTTATTTATAGCTGTTGGCTACCAAGACTGTTGGAAAAAACCTAATAATTAGCTTCAGCAGCAGTAGATATTTTATAATTTTCCCCTTCATTAAATAAGCTTTTTCCTTTTGTAAAAGATTTCCTCTTTGGACTTAACCTTTGTCCTAAACCAGGGCCTTTCAGAAAAGCATGATGTGCAATTCTCAAACATCCTCTTCTCTACCATTCATGTTATCATACACTTTTGCCTGATCTCTTCCAGGTATTTTTTAACTGCAGCTGTGTGGGAACCTCTGAATCTTCACAAAACTCCTCAGCCGTGGTGGGACCATGTCAAAAAGGAAATGAGTGTCCCAAAATGTTTCTGTATTTTCTAGTAATATCAGTTATCACTTCATACACTTTGTCAGTAGGTGGCACACCCGGATACATACTGCTTCTAAGGTAAGAAATCGTTTCTGCTAGCACTGCCAAATATTTTCAAAGTGTTTTGACACTTGATTGGTACTCCCTCCCCTCCTGGTATTCCCGGTATTGGGAAATGTTTTGCAGGTATGCAAGGTGGCATATTACATATAATTGTTCTCTCCCAGATTTTTCTCCTTATTTTAACAAATGTTTTAGCATGAGATTTTTTTCCCCCTATTGTGATAATCACAGATTTATTGGATGCTTGTTTCAATGCATATTTAACTGCTGGAACTATTGGTCCATCACTGTAAGCTTTGAAGCTAATTTTAGCAAGTGCGAAAGGCATTTAATACTACAAGTGCTTAATCTGGATTTTTGTCAGCTACTTGAAATTTTTGGATTCCAAGTCCTGCTCTGCTCTGTTTTGGAAACCTTTCTTTCTCAGTTCCTTTTTCCAAATTATTTCCAGATGGGCACATTCTACTTCTCAAACAAAATAACAGTAAATCCAGTCTAACTAATCTTTAGTCTTATAAATGTGTTTTCTTGCTCCCAAATTCTCTTTGTTTTTGAATTAAATTTTCTGGACCAGGCCCTGTCTCATTGCTGGTATCTTTGTACCACACAGACAGCGCCAGTGTTAGAACTGGCAGAACATAAGCCATATGGAAAATCCTAAATAAAGACATGTGACTTCAGCTACGGTTCCATCACAGCCCTCGCCCCAGGATAAATATTCACGTGGAGACTTTGAGAAATGGCTGGGGCGAGGATCCTCCTCCACAGCCCTGCACAAACACTGCCAGTGAGGTGCACACAAGCTGCACAGCTTTCCTCACACACCTTGCAGAGTTACCCCGAGTGCTGGAAAACCACACAGCATCTCCCCAGGGGCTCACTCCAAGAACAATCACGCTAAAATCCATTTTAGACCCTTTTTACTGAAGCTTCTGCACAACTGAACTGTCCCTGTGCCAAGAGGAGGATGGTTCACGAGTGGAGAGCTTGCAGCAAAGCCTCACACCAGATTGCTGTCTGGGTGCTCCTGACACGTTGGATAAATATGGGCATGGAGCTATGCAGGGATGCATTTCCCTTCCCCTTTCCCTCTACCTGATGTCTTCCTTCTATCCCTAAGACATACCATGGAAAATGTACAGATCTGGTACCACATAGGGCCTCAAAATTGTGGCAGCCATGCTCAATTCCTGCTTTCTTCTTGTCTCCACTGCATAAAAAATTGTTTGGGAGATGTCCATAACTGAACACGCACAAGCTCAAATCACACGAAGTTTCCTGCCCATCTCAGCCTTAAGAACTTGCCCTTGGGGGTCTTACTGTTTAATTGATTTAGTTAGAAAAGCTTAGAAAGGTTTTCAATTACAATACTAAACCACTTTGTTATATGAAATCGGCAAAACTTTCATTGGTCCTGCTCCAATGCTTTTATTGCTGTTGAAAATCATTTTACTTTGAGAGACATTTAAGTGAAACTGAGAAGTTATGTGCTTTCTTGCTGGATTAAAGGCATCTACCCTCGATGTGCAGCTAAATAAAACATGTTTCAGTAAGTTCAATCCTTTTTTTTTTTCCTGCACTGCAAACGACCTGTGGGCAGAATTCCACTTTAAGCTCATGCTTACTTTTGTCTTTTTTTAAATTCATCACTGACTGACTTTCTCCAAAAATCTGGCTGAATTGAAAGTGTGCTTCTATTACCAGAAGGAAAATAAATTTTCTTTGAACACAAATAGTCCCAAAGTCAAGTTTGCAGGCTTCATTATGTATTTTTTTCCAATGATCTCTTTCAAAAATTATTCAGTATTCAGTCATCCCTGTTAAGATTCCAGCATTTAAACAAGCTGATGTTTTCAGATGAGCAGATATCATTGCACCTGCCATAGAGGACAAATACAACTAAATCCCTAAAAGCCTGAAAGATTTAGTGACATTTTCTTTGATGGTTTGCACACTGAAGTCATTGAAATATGCTTACAGCTGGTGACCAAGTCATTTGCTGAAATGTCATTTTGGTGGTAGTAGCCTATTTACAGTAGCCAAGGAATTTGGGAAAGCCCTGAAGGTTTTGAGAAAAAAGCCCTGCAGTTCAGAGAGCTGTTGTTCAGGCACCAGCTATTAACAGCATGTGATTAGGCAGTGAAAAGGAAGTCTCAGATCTCCCTAAGAGGTCTGGCTATCACTCAGGATCACAAAGGACTCCTGTTTCCGTGCAAAGACAATACAAAGAATAAAATAATTTTTTTTTCATCTGAAAGAGAATATTTTTTTGCAGGATATAAATCCTGTGAAACACATATCAAATATCTAGTTATTTGTGTTATTTTCCACTTTTTACTTTCTATGCCCTCAGATTTGTTTAGGACTCCAGGTTAAGGAGTGCTTGTGTAGCAAGTGTCTAGTAGGAGAGCAAGCACTGTTCTTCCAACTTAAAATCATTTTACAGTCACGCCCTCATAGATGGCAGTGCTTGTATAAACCACAATCAACAGATTGTGTGATCATAATCCATGGATCATAATCCATGACCAGGGCATTAGAGAACAAAGTGTTGAAAAGTACCCCTGATGGGGAACAACAGAGTTAATTCTGAGATATCTTTATTATTTTTAAACATATTCCAAATTACATTAATTTTTGCAGAAGCAGAGGCCACTCCAGTTCAGACCTCACAGACTGTGCCTCCAGAGTGCTATGTTCATCCATAGTGACAAATTGAATTTCAGCCCATTTTATTTTTTCTGATTTATACTGAATAGAATGACTGTGACAAAAGTTTTATCAATTACCATATTGATCTACAAGTTACCCCACATACCAAAAATGTCCTTGTTTAATCGTGTAACTGGTACTACTCACTTGCCAGAATCAAACATCTCCCCAGATTCGTGCTGGGTTAGGTATTGTAATGGTCAGTCTGGTACATGCTGGAGGAACAGCATGTTGAGCAGCTGGTGGGGGAGCAGGAGATTCCTGCAAGTCTGAGGCTCCATGCACACCCTGCTGAGAGCAGGGATGGGAAAGGAACCTGCTGTCCTGCCCAGAAACGCTGCTCCCCCAAGGATGATGATCTAAGGCTGGAGCAGGAGCTCCAGGAACTGGATGTGTGTGGTGGACTCACCCTGCAATCTTAGAAGAGTCCAAATGCAAATGGTCTGCTCTGTCCGAGAATGGCTCAGAGGATTTACCTTTACAGGAGGTGTGATCCCGACCCTTGATAGAAAGCAATGAAAAGTGAGTGCCTAAATACCTTGTACTAGTCTGGGACTTGATCCTGAATTTCAGGGAGTGTCTAACTGAATAAAACCATCCTATTCATGATTTCACTACCAATTTTCTTGTCCTGTGTTAGTAGCACCTAAGTGCTGATATCATCTGATCCACAACCATCTTAAAATGTGATGTTGAATAGAGATGTTTAGAATTCCTAGATGCTGTTCTGGTTTTATCACCCTTTTTTACACATTTCTGCAATTTGGTCAAAGTCTATGACGTTAAGGAGGAAAAGGTCACACTTCTTTCCTTTCTCTTGCTTTCTATTTTCTTTCTCATTATATACACCTGATGCTTTATTTCTAGCTAACACCTCTTTTATTGTTGTTTTTAGATGCATTAAACCCCACTTGAAATCATTTGCACTTGGTATCTATACCCTGGCAATAAGAGTACTTGGTAAGTCCATTTGTACTTCTGAGTCAGTTTTAATATACTCCTCAATAATAATTTATCTTAGAATTAAGCTTTGATTGTTGGAAAGAACGATGTCTATCTGCAAATAAATATCATATGATTTAAAAAAAAAAAGGTTGGAAAAAGGAAATTGCTTTGTACTTTATAAATCACATAATTATGTCTTAGGTATAATTAAAATACACAAGGCCAGTATTTGTAGAGATGTGATCCTGTAGGCTATGAAGCTAACAACAACATTACATCTTGTCCCCTTTCTCAGCAACAAGCATCACTGAACAGCTATGGCTGTGAATTTGTGATTGCTTTTCAGGCATATATTCACTATTTTCTAAGGGAATTCATCTGACTACAGGTGTGCCTGGGGGCAGGGTTCACTGCAGCCTTATGGTAGAGCCACCTGAAATCAAAGGTAACATGAGATGCCAATGAACTAGAAATTCTAAAATGCTCTAGGTCTTCATGAAAAAAAAAATATCAAGAAGCAAGTCATCTATTTACATGAGCAGAGTTGGATGAGCTGGATGAAATTACATCAAAACGAGCACTTGGCTTAATTCTTACACCTTTGCAGGCCAGAATTTTCTCTCCAGGCTTCCTTTCTCCTCCAGCAACCACGGGTGGCTGCCCAGGTGACACAGAGTCCAGGATCAGCACATGAAAAAAGGCTTTTCCTTTCCATCACCCCCAAGAACTGCAGTAGGTTTGCTCCTGCCACAGCAGGATGTCAGGACGCTTGGAGGATCCCTGCCAGGCTGCCAGCCTCACTCTGTCCCTTCTCATCCCCACCAGCACACAGGACACCCCTACCCCCGAGAACAGACTCCATTGCTCTCAAGAAAGGAGAAGTGTCTCCTATTTGTTTTTCCCCAAAGATGTCCCGCAGGGTGAGGAAATCAAACCGTGGCCAGCACTCCTTCCGCTCCTTTTGATGTTTTGTGATGTTTTCCTGGCCTCCCACAGGGAGGAAGGGGCGGTGAGCGCTGGGCAGCACAGGACACGTCTTCTCCAACCAGCAGCGTTGCTCTTAGGATATATCATTGCCCTTGGGATATATCATTTCATGTTCTACATGAATGTGCCTCTAGGTCAGAACTGATCACCCTGGAACGTCAATTTCTTATCTCTGTTTATTTGTTACATCCCCCCAGCGGGGATTCCAGCCCCAGTGTATTTCGGAGTAGCCATAGATACCACTTGCCTGAAATGGGGAAGCAAAAGATGTGGGGGAAGAGGAGCATGCAGACTGTATGACTCCAGTGCACTCAGGTAACAGCTCTTCTCCATTCCTTCTTTAACCTTTGTTCTTAAAGTACATCTATACATGGCACTGGTAGCAGAATTTCTGTCAGGAAATCTGAGTGAAATATTTGAAACTGAATTAAAGTCTGACTAACAATATTAACAATAATGCTTGCATTTCACCATTCTCTTTTGATTCAATCTCTTTTTTGGGGATAGGGGCAGATCATTTTGATTCAGTATCACCTGGAAATAATTGTCAATTAATAATTCACAAAAAAAAAGTTGTGTTGAAACCTTAATTTTATTCTAAAGCTCCCTCAGCTTTCAATAGCTCTGCTGTTATTAAAGCTCATTTTTCTCCATGTTGGAGCTGGATCAAAAAATGGAAGGCAAAGGTGCCCCAAAATATACTTGGATTATCTAGACTAAAGTGCAGAGTTGTCTTTATCAATTCATTGCTAGAGGACGGTAATTGTCTGAACTGCATTTGTGAAAGTCTTCACCAGAAATGAAGAATGGAAAAACAGTGGTAAGAGGAAAATGGGAGAACAGGTTGTCCCTTCTCCCACCACAAGGAAAATAAAAATGAGAGGAGGGTACATCTTGTTTTGAAAACTTGAAGGAAAGAGCAAAGTCTGAGCTGGGACTCTTTTGCTAATAAAATATTATGATGTTATTGTTGCTGCTGTTGTCATTATGCCTGTAAAGCAAAAATGCCATCAATGCTCTTGATATCAGTGGTACTGTTTATGAAATGACCGAAAAATAGAGTAACTGCCCTAAAAAATATGAGTGCTATTCTTACTGAAGCACATTGGGGTGGAGTCAGTCAGTGCCTGAGATGCTTTCTTGACCACAGAGCACTCGACACCTGAGCTGGACCGGCTGCCAAACTCCCCTCTGCAGGGTCACCCCCTTGATCCAAGTGTCTTTCCCCAGCCTTACCTGATGAAATTACGAATGTGCCGCCTTTGACATGGGCTCTGATCAATCATTTCTCTCTCAGGTATGTGTACCTGGGGCTGACTTTGGTCTTGGGCACGGTGTCCATTTTCTTCAGTGTTGCTGTCCTTTGGGTTCTCCGAAAAAGGTCTTCTCCACCAGATGAGATCCTCTCAGCCAACGGGGAGAGAGGCACCTGTGGGACAAAGAGCAGAAATGACAATTTTGTCAATAGTGACCGGTTAATTCAGTCAACTTACTGGCCAGAAAAGGAGACCAGACTTTAGGAAAGCTGATTTTACCCAGTGAGTGCTGTTCCAGGCAAAAATCCATCACAAGTGAAGCAGTATCTTAGTAGCCACCCTGAAAATATTCATCTTCTTGTAATTTTCACTGTAAACCCCAAAAGCAAAGACCACCAATTTTTAGCACGTGAACAGCTCTAGAAACACTGCTCACCATTTTTTCTGCCAAGTGAGGGGGTTTCCTGTGGCTGGGGAGGTGCAGTTGTGCCCTCGTTTTTTGAGCCCCTCTGTCTGCTCCTGCTGTGCTGCCATGAGCTCCCTGTCCCTGGCACCAGCCACGGGCACCCAGGGCACCAGTCCAGGCTTGGCAGCCTGGAAAAGCAGGGATCTCAGCAGGGCAGCCTGTCCTGGCCAGAAGCACACGGGGCAAGAAGAGGGTGCTTTGCTGGAAGGAGAAATCAGCCACAGGCTCTGGGCACCTCGTCTTGTCAAGTGTTGTGGTTAGGAATCCGTTTTCCAGTAGCTTTGTTCCAGCACAACAATCACCTATAGAAGTTGTCCTTACAGTCAAAGGCACCACAAGAATACCATCCGAAGGAAACTGGAATGAAAATAGAGCTCTTTTTAGACTTCCAGCAGTTTCTTGCTATTTGCTAGTACTCAGTGTACTAAATAATTCCATGCACTTTATGATGTAATAGCAAAATTATACAAGATACATATGATTTATATTTTAAAAAGCTATGACAAGACAGCTTGGGAAAAATAAAATTAATTAAAAGACTAGGTGACTTGGGGCTTTTCCTTTTAATTTATTGTATTTTCTAGCTGCAATTAAGACATTTTTGGGCTTTGTCAATATTTGGTATTAATTACATTTGGGGTGGGGAGTGCAAAGCTTGCACAGAAAAAGATAATGGCAGCACCACAGGGATATCCTTTAAAGCAACTAGAATTTCTGAGCACATGACGAAAAGTAGGCTTCACCCTTCAAAGCAAACCCATATCACATCATTTGTGTGCCAGCAGTGATTGTAGGAACCCTGCTGCTCTCCTGTGGGGTGCATCAGGAGATGTGTAAGAGTGGGATATTCACTGGGCTCTATAAACCATCAGTGATCAGAGTTTGTGCTGTGCCGTTGGGGACACACCTAACCCACTCAATAGCAGCACCAACACCTGCAGAAGGTAAAGCTTTAAATACATTACTGGGGAAAAGGCATTTGGCAGAGGAAGAGTCAGCATCACTGGATTTGCCACATGGCGAGTGTTCAGACAGTGGCCTGGAATCTGGGACACCCACTGCCCTGTCCCAGATCTTTGTCCTCCCAGGTGAGTGCCAGAGGCTGTGGGCAGTGAGGTCCTAGAGAGCTGTGGCTGTGCACTGGGCCTTAGGAACTGGATACTGAACTAAAGAACCATAATTAAAATAATCTGAAGGTTTATGGATATGGGATTAAGTCAAGAGTTGTGTTTGGGGTGAATCACAAAGATTGGCATCCCTGTCTCAGGTCTCATTTGTATTACATCATCATAAAAATAGCAAAATTGTCAAACTGCACCAGCATCCAGGAGTAAGAACAATGCCTGGAGCCTTCCACAGCCTCCTGGAGAGGGCAGTTCCCATAGAAATGAGCTGTCAGATCCCGTGAGAGAAAGGAGGAACCCAATTTAACTGGGATAAAAAAGGAGAGATAGCTGCACTTCACTCAGTGGTGCTGTATGTGTGTCAGCAGTGGGGGTGATTCTTTGTGAATCAGTCCTGGCAAGGACACTGCTACTCTCTGATTATGGAGCTGTCACAATGGCTGCTCTGCACGTGCCTGGCAGCAAGAGGGCCAGCAAAATTCACTGATTTCACCTGGGACACAAAACATTTTCTTCTCAGTAGCTGGAACAGTGCTGTGTTTTGGATTCAGCAGGAGAATGATAATGGACAAAAAGTCCATTATTGCTGCAAAAATGATGAGGGGCAATTTAAATGTAGGGCCTTTTAATGGTGATTTAAAGTGCTCATTACTTAAGCAACATGTGGCTAATATCAGGAGGTTAGTTAGCCAACAGCTCATCCCAGATTAATGCAGTTCATTGAATTTTGAAGAGTAAATAAGGAAAGGATTTAGTGGAGAGCACGTGGAGCACATTCTCACAGCTGGATGGTGCCCAGGCCAGGAAGCTCTCTCTCATGGCTGTTGAGCATTGAAAGGTTGTTGTACACAACCAGAACCCTCTTGTTAATCCTGTGATGTTGGCATTTCTAAAATAAGATGTGGAAAAACAAAAACTTGTTTAAATAAAAAACAACCTGTGATAACATTATACAGTCAGCAAAAATCTATTTATTTAACTGTGCCCACAGACTGTTCTCCAGTGTCTGGAAATCAAGCAGGATAAAACTATAATAGGTATAAAATACTTTTTTTTTCTTCAGGATGTTTCTGACATCTGATAGATTTTTCTGTCAGAAAAAAATCGAGACTCACCCATTCTAGTAAAAGATCTGCTCTAGTGTAACAAGACAGACTAACAGTTTATTAAAGTGGTTTTGTATAATACCAGGTATTCAATTACATGAATCATATTAAATTTTTGAGTTCTCTTACCTCCGTTAATATCCCAGACCATGCAGAGGTGATGGGGGACTTGCCCTGGGACTTCACCTGAAGTCAGCATGGGTTTTGTTTCTGCTGTTCTGTGATGCAGCTCACATTTGGATTGGCTACTAAAAAGGTCTAAGCACTCTCACCTGCCAGTGACTTACACTTCCATGCTGTGTCTGTGACAACAGCTGCAACCCAGACTGCTGATTGAGAGTGAATGCAAAGAGAAGCTGTACAACCAGCACTAATATCTACCTTTTGTATTTTAGGAAGAAAAAAAAGAAAAAAAAATCATTGAAACAGCACATCATGGTCTACTTTACCCAGACAGATGCATGATACAAATCAATGACAAAATTATCAAGTTCTTTTGAAAGGCAAATATTCCACTGAGCAGTGGAAGAATAAATTCCCAGACACTGGCTAAGATAGAGACAACAAATCAACCCCTCAGCATGCTGTTCTCTCTTGTTAGCTCTACAGCACTAAACAGGAACTAGACACTCTGGGACCCGAGCACCAAAGAATCCTTTTCTGCTGTGGTAAATGCTATTTTCACCCTCTCAGGATTCCTGTAGTATCTTAACTACAGGAGTATTTGCTTACACTTGCTGTACACGATCCCTTTTATTTAGTTTGTTAACAAAGAGTTAAATTTTAAAATACATCGATTTTCTGTATCTAGGGCTTAGTGTCCTGAGAATAAGAAGGGCTCTGACCAGAGCTGCCTACTCCAGCTGGCCTGTGCCTGGGCAGCAGCTCCCTGCTGCTGCTGCCTGCCCCTGCCCATTGCCCCTCTCCTGCTGCTGGCTTCTGCTGCCACCCTCTGCCTGAGCAGCCTGCACCAGCTCCTGGCTGAAGGTGACTCACCGCGGCTTTTGTAAGAATTGCTTTTAACCTCAGCAGCAATCACAAACTACTGCTATCTCAGTGATCTTATTAAGGGGGTTTTTTATATCATAATCCTTTTCATTCTTTTTCCTGCAAGTGTGAGTAATATGGAGGGGGGTCTTGGATACAGCTCTCTTTTTTTAGGCGTGAGACCATAGTCTTCGATTTGACTTCAGTAGTTTTCCATTCTGGTAGTTTAAATCAACAGTTCTTGGTTCAAGAAGTCAGCTTTGATTGTGAATGCTTCCACAGACAGTTTGAACAGCAGCAGTCTGAAGATAGAAAAATTCTTATCAGCCATACTGAAAGCAAAGTACAAAAGATATTTTAATCCTGAAAAGTTATAAATTAATGGCATATACAGGGCTAGGATAAAATAGGGAGCAACCGATTTGTATTCAGTTGTCAGAATGATGAAAACAAATACTGTTTTGCTTATATGAAAAAGAAAGTAGCACCTTTTTCTACACGTTCTACTACTCCAAAGTAACAGAGTAATTTTGGCTCCATCCCTTTCCAGATACTTAGTATTAAAAGGCCAAAACCCCAATTGGGCAGGTCTGCTAATACATCAGAAGACAACCTGAAAATGAAACCTTGGGAATGCGAAGTTCCACCATAAAACTTTGTAGAACAACGGGGAATACTTATTTTGACACAGTCAGAGCCTAAGAGTAGAGCTTGTGACACACCCCTGGAGGAGGACGAGGACACAGGTGCTTGTGTCCTATGGTTTGGTAGCCTGCAATAAACAGGGGCCAAGACGTTTGTCTTGTGACTAGAAAATGTCAAGCATGGTATAAGAAACGTGCTGGAAGTGAGTAGTTGATGTTTTATGCCACAATAGAACATGAAGGATAACTAACTCTGACAAAAAAGGAGGCCCACATCTGTTCTAGGACCATGAATTTCCATCTCTTGCACGTATTTAAAGCTAAGTAATGCTCTAACTGTGAGGGCAACTCTTTTACAAAAATTGCAGTGATGGCAATGTCGGTTGTTTAGGGTTATTTTCATTCAGATTTAAATATAATGGATGCAGTCATAATCTAACACCATGGATTTTCTCTGCAGTGATGAATGAAGTCCCCTTTGATCACATTATTGATCACTTAGTCATGGAAAACTAAAAATTGTTCTGCACAAAAGGTTACAACTACAATGAATCAATAAAATAATAGCAGATGTTTGTGGAAGATTATTGAGCAAGTTAACCTTGAAGCCATTAGTGGACACAGTGGACTGGTGATTTGGAACAGCCAGCACGGATTTATCCAGGGTACATCAAGGTCTGACTAAGCTGGTTGACTTCTAGGAGGAAATGGCTGGTGACATGGTGAAAGTGGTGGCAGGGAAGGGAACAGGAAGTGCCAGGAATGGAATCTTTTGGTGTAGCATCCAGGCAGACAGTAGTCATAGCTCATCTGCCTCGAGAATAATTACATTTTAAATAAAATTTCTCTCAGGAATCAGGCAGAATGCACAGTAGGAGCACAATCAAATAAACCTGTTCTGGTTTCCTTGAACTAGGGTTGTAAGTGATAAAGGGCT